TGTTTGACAAAATGCCAGGCGGATATGTCACCCGGGACATAATATGGGGTGCGCTTGCGCGTTGGGCACATCAGGACGCCGCAAGTCCGGCGATCGGGCATAGTCTGCCGTTACAAAAAAAGAGCGCCGCCGCCTCGGCGGGGTCATTCATCACTCGGCGTGGTCGCGTAGGCGGGGGGCGGCGAGTAGTTGTTTGGTGGGTACTGCACACCGGCGAAGGCGGGCGATGGCGTGCGCGCAGCGGGGTGACCATGAGGGAAGGTCACGTTTGGGTTGAACCCGCCGTGCGCGTCGCCGTCGGCGTAGCCGGGCGACGATGAACCCCATGGAGATCCGGCGCCTTGCTGTCCCCAGGGCGCGTACTGGTGGGCGTGGCTGACGACGGGAGCCTCGACAGAAGAGGAGGACGCCGCCGCGCGCGCCGCGTTGTCGCGGGCCTTCTTGGCTATCCCCCGGTTCCGCCCTCCACTCGGCGTTCGACAGGCCCGGTGGCTTCGTTGGAGGCGCCCTCGGCTTCCTCTGCTTCGGTTGGGTAACGGCGCCCGTCGCGGTCGCCGCCGCGCGTGGCATGGAGTACTTCTTCGGCGGCATGGCGGCGGGATGCGAGCGGGATTGGCGGGAGAATGGCGGGAGCAAGGCGAGCGAGTGGGAGAGAAGTGAGAAAAAGCGGCAGCAAAACGGCGGGAAAAGGCCCTCGGGTCGCCTCCAGTGTGGGCCCACGCGCCTTTTTCGCTTGCGCCGGCTCCCCAAGCGCTCCCCAGGGCGCCGGGTTCGGCCTGGGTCCGCCGGCACCAGTTTTGGCCCGAGCCGGTGAAAAACGGGTTTCTGGAGGCACGACTGGGGCCTTTTTTCGGCGCCGGCGCGGCGAAATCGCCTGGGGAGGGCCTGTTGGGGGCGCGGCTGGAGATGCCCTTATTACTCACACGAACAGAGTGCTACAGACACCGTTGATAATGTAGATAATTTTGGATCTATTGTTGCATACAATACTAGTATTATTCACTCCAAAGTCAAACCTGCATGCATGCACTGACAAGCTCGTCCCCTTAGGCAGTGATCCCGCTGTGGAAGGAAGTGGAGTACTACAAGGATTACCAGCTCCGCCTGCGCGCGTACGCCGGCGCCGAGCGCGCCCGCGCCATCGTCCGCGGCGCGCTCCACGTCGTCAGCATCGGCACCAACGACTTCCTCGAGAACTACTACATGCTCGGCACGGGCCGCTTCGCCGAGTACACGGTGGCTGAGTTCTCCGACTTCCTCGTCGCCGGCGCGCGCCGCTTCCTGTCGGAGATCCACCGCCTCGGCGCGCGCCGCGTCACCTTCGCCGGGCTCGCCCCCATCGGCTGCCTCCCGCTGGAGCGCGCCGAGAACATGATCCACGGCGGCGGCTGCATCGAGGAGTACAACCGGGTGGCCAGGGAGTACAATGCCAAGGTGGAGGCCATGCTGGGGGCACTCCGCGCCGAGCTCCCGGACCTCAGGCTCGCCTACGTCCCCGTCTACGACACCATGCTCGACCTCGTCACCAACCCGGCCAAGTTCGGGCTGGAGAACGTGGAGGAAGGGTGCTGCGCCACGGGGAGGTTCGAGATGGGGTTCATGTGCAACGACGAGGCGCCCATGACCTGCGCCGATGCCGACAAGTTCCTCTTCTGGGACGCATTCCATCCGACGCAGAAGGTGAACCGGATCATGGCCAACCACACGATCGACATCTGCTACCAGCAAGGCCTCCTCTGAATGTGTGATCCACGATCGTACAACTAGAAACGCATTGATCCACTGACTATTTTGTGGAGTGAGAAATTGTTTCATGCATGGGGCGGATTCAATTCAGAAGGAACTTGTCGCGCCTGCAAATGACAGCACTTCGACTTCTGCAGCGGACTGAAGGAGTGCAAGTTCAGTCTGAACTTAACCGAGCTTGCAACACCCTGCGTGGTGATCTAGGCCTTGGGCCTTGTAAGCGAGTCGTGCTGGGCTAGGGTTGGGCCCATGTAGCCAGCTTTATGTACCGAATGGAGAATGATCGAGCCATCGAAGAGAAATTAGATCGAACTATCTCCTCTCACACGCTTCCTCACCTACCCCCTTCTCTCTCCCTCCCTAATTCTAGATCGAGATCTCTGGTTCATCACAATCTGGTATTCAGAGCCTATAATTTTTTTTTCACTACCTCGCCGCTGCTGCTGATCTCTTACCCTCTCGATCGCTGGTAAAATCCACCGGGTCAGGTGCGAGCTGCTTCGGCGAGCTCGCCCGAAATCCGACTCGGGGTTCGGTCGATTTGGAGCGAGACCACGGCGCCATCCAAACCCTCGGCGCAGACCCGCCGTGTGCTCGACGCCATGTCAGAGACCACCGACAAGCTACAGAACTTGTTCAAGACAGTCATCCGTCGACTCGACGCGAACCAGAAGACTGCCGATGAACGGCACCGGACACAGCTCTCCTACAATAACCAGGTCTCCGAAGAGCTCAAGCTCCTCTCCAAACAGATCGACCTCACCCAGGCCGATGTGGATGAGGCCCGCAAGGCCACGCCCACGGCCGATCCTGCCGCCACAGCGAGTGCGGGCGCCATGTCCCATTCAGCCACCGCGGACTCCTCCACACACAGCCCCCCCATCGCCGCCACCGCCGACCCGTCCCACGACGACCCCCCTCTATACGGACAGCGCGACGCAGCTTCCGTTCGCAAGACTCGTCGACCACGCCCCCCTCCCCCGCTGCTGATCACCGGGGCCCCTTCACCTACAGAGTGCGAGCGCCACAACATCTACTACGCGAAGCGGCCCAAGCATGATTTCCCTCGGCTCGATGGCACTACTTTTGGAAATATGCATTAGAGGCAATAATAAATTGGTTATTATCATATTTCCTTGTTCATGATAAAGGTTTATTATTCATGCTAGAATTTTATTGATCGGAAACTTAAATACATGTGTGAATACATAAACAAATACTATGCCCCTAGTGAGCCTCTACTATACTAGCTCGTTGATAAAAGATGGTTAAGGTTTCCTAACCATAGACATGAGTTGTCATTTCATAATGGATCACATCATTAGGAGAATGATGTGATGGACAAGACCCACCCCTTAGCATTCGATCGTATCACTTGAGTTTATTTGCTACAGCTTTCTTCATGTCAAGTATCACTTCCTTGGACCATGAGATCATGCCACTCCCGGATACCGGAGGAATACTTTGTGTGCTATGAAACATCACTTCATAACTGGGTGCTCATAAAGGTGCTCTATAGGTATTTACGAAGGTGTTTGTTGGGTTGCATGGATTAAGACTGGGATTTGTCGCTCTGTGTGATAGAGAGATATCTCTGGGCCCTCTCGGTAATACAGCACCACAAGAAGCTTGCAAGCATGTGATTAACGAGTTTAGTCACACGATCTTGTATTACGGAATTAGTAAAGAGACTTGCCGATAATGAGATTGAACTAGGTATGGAGATACCGACGATTGAATCTCGGGCAAGTAACATATCGCCGGATAAAGGGAATTGCATACGGGATTAACCGAATCCTTGACATCGTGGTTCAGCCGATAAAAGATTTTCGTCGAATATGTAGGAACCAATATGAGCATCCAGGTTCCGCTATTTATTATTGACCGGAGAGGTGTCTCGGTCATGTCTACATGATTCTCGAACCCGTAGGGTCCGCACGCTTAACGTTCGGTGACGCTAGAGTAATGTTGGGATATGCATGTTGGTGACCAAATGTTGTTTGGAGCCCAGATGAGATTCAGGACGTCACGAGGAGCTCCGGTATGGTCCGGAGGTAAAGATTTATATGTGGAAAGTAGCTTTCAGGGTTCCGAAAAAAGATTCAGTTTTTTCGGTATTGTACGGGGAAGCTTCCAGAAGGTTTTGGAAACATCCGGAGGAGTCCAGAATTCCACCAAGGGTTCCACCACGTCCCAAGGGTCAGCATGGACTAAGGGGAGGCGCCCTGGCCTTATTGGGTCAGGCGCACAAGTCCCTCAAGGCCCATGTGGCTGGGAAAGGTGGAAAGTCCACCTGTGTATGGAAAGGAGGGAATTGGACTAGGAGTCTAACTCCTCCCCCTTGGTGCGCCAACCCTAGGGCTTGGAGGGCTGGCCACCACGCCCCTCCACCTACATATAGAGGGTAAGGGGCATCCCCAAGGGTATACAAAAGCCCTTGGCCTCTCTCTCTCTCCCTCCCTCTCTCTCTCTCTCTCTCTCCCTCCTGTTACTTTGTAACTCTTCGTCTTTGTTGTTTCGGTAGCGCTCTGCATAGCTCTGCTGAATCACTCCACCACCATCACCGTCACGCCGTCGTGCTGTCGACAATCCCATCTACTTCTCCTTCCTTGCTTGCTAGATCAAGGAGGAGGAAATGTCATCGTGTCGTACGTGTGCTGAACGCGGAGGTGCCGTCCGTTCAGTACTTCATCGGTTTGCATCGCGATTGGATCGTGACGACTATGACTACATCAACCGCGTGATATATGCTTCCTCTTGACGGTCCGCGAGGGTATGTAGATACACTCTCCCCTCTTGTTACTATGCTTCTCCTAGATAGAACTTGGGTGTACGTAGGATTCATGCTTCGTTCCTCATCAGTGGCATCATGAGCTAGGTTTATGCGTAGATGTATATGCACGAGTAGAACACAAAGAGTTGTGGGCCTTGATGCTCAAATTGCTTATCTCTCTGTCTTATTTGGATTTGGCAGTATTGTGGGATGAAGCGTCTTGGACCAACTTTACATGTCCTCACACATGAGACCGGTTCCACCGACTGACATGCAACTTGTTTTGCATAAGGTGGCTAGCGGGTGTCTGTCTCTTCTACTTTAGTTGAATCTCATTTGACGAAGGAGGTCCTTGTAGAAGGTTAAATGGAAACTTGATTATCACAGTTGTGGCTTTGCATAGGCAAGAAAGGTTCTTGCTAGTTGCCCATAGCAGCCACGTAAAAATTGCAACAACACAATAGAGGACGTCTAACTTGTTTTTGTAGGGCATGGTGTGATGTCGTATGGCCAAAAATGTGATGTGATATATGTTGATGTATGAGATCATGTCTTGTAATAGGTTCACAACTTGCATGTCGATGAGTTCGGCAACCGGCAGGAGCCATAGGGTTGTCTTTAACTTATTAATCGTCATATAATTGCTTTACTTTATCACTATGCGTTAGTAATAGTTGTAGAAGCAATAGTTAGCGAGACGACCACGTGAGACATGATGATGGAGATCGTGGTGTCATGCCGGTGACAATGGAGATCATGTCGGTGCTTTGGAGATGAAGATCAAAGGCACGAGATGATAATGGCCATATCATGTCACATATTGATTGCATGTGATGTTTATCTTTTTATGCATCTTATTTTGCTTACGATGACGGTAGCATTCTGAGATGACCCCTTCACTTAATTTCAAAAAATTGTGTTCTCTTTAAGTATGCATCATTACAAAAGCTCCTCATTTCGAAGCACCTTGTGATGATCGGGTGTGATAGACACTATGTTTGCATACAATGGGTGTACGTCAGTTTTACACATGCAGAATACATGGGTTAAACTTGACGAGTCTAGCATGTACAGACATGGCCTTGGAATACAGGAGACCGAAAGGTCAAACATGAGTCATATAGTAGATATGATCAACATGAAGATGTTCACCATTGATGACTGCCCCATCTCACGTGATGATCGGACATGGGTTAGTTGATTTGGATCATGTATCATTTAGACAACTTGAGGGATGTTGATTTAAGTGGGAGTTCATTAGTAATTTGATTATCTGAACTAATTATCATGAACTTAGTCTTAATTATCTCTGCAAAATTTGTGTCGTAGATTAATGGCCCGCGTTGTAGTTCCCCTGAATGTTAATGTGTTCCTAGAGAAAGCTAAGTTGAAAGATGATGGAAGCAACTATGCAGAGTGGGTCCGTAACTTGAAGATTACCCTAGTTGTTGCACAGAAGGCTTAAGTCCTTGATGCACCGCTAGGTGCCGCACCCCCTCCAGCGTCGTCTGTGGACGTTGTGAACATCTGGCAGACACATTCTGATGACTACTTGATAGTTCAGTGCACCATGCTTTACGGCTTAGAACCAAGGCTCCAAAGACGTTTTGAGCACCATGGAGCATATGATATGTTCTAGGAGCTGAAATTGGTATTTCAAGCTCATGCCCGTGTTGAGAGGTATGACACCTCGACAAGTACTTTAGCTGCAAGATGGAGGAGAAGAGTTCTGGTAGTAGCATATACTCGGAATTTCTGGGTTTCACATCTGCTTGAGTCAATCGGGAGTTAATCTTCCAGATGACACGGTCATTGACAGAGTTCTTCAATCACTGCCACCAAGCTATAAGGGCTTTGTGATGAACTACATAATGCAAGGGATGGAGAAAACGATTCCTGAGCTCTTCGTGATGCTTAAGGCCGCGGAGGTAGAAATCAAGAAGGAGCATCAAGTGTTCATGGTTAGAAACACCACTATTTTCAAGAAAGGCAAGTGAAATAAAGGGAACTTCAAGAAGAATGGCAAGACAGTTGCCGCTCCCGTGAAGAAACCCAAGGCTGGACCCAAACCTGAGACTGGGTGCTTCTACTGCAAGGGGAATGGTCACCGGAGGCGGAACTGCCCCAAGTACTTGGCAGATAAGAAGGCTGGCAACGTCAACAAAGGTATATTTGATATACATGTTATTGATGTGTACCTTACTACTGCTCATAGTAGCGC